AATATTTTTGAGATGACTTAGCAGCATGTGTGAAAACAAATTGGCGTATATGACTTAAGGAAAATGCTACATCATGCTCCATTGCATGTACGAAATGTTGATTATAGCGAGTGTCTTTTGATTGGCTCGTAAATTGTAATTTTGTAAATTAAAAATGATATGAAAAACTTTATTACAATACAAATGAGCGCAAACAACTTTTAGAACATTTCAATTATTACATTAAGCCCAACGAATTTCGAATTTAATGTTGTTTATGGTCATAAAGTCGAATTAAAAATTAATAATTGATTTAATATTTGAGAAAAAAATTTTTGAAATTGTGGTTGATTGTCTTTTACTTGACGTACTATTTTATTGGGGGGAAATCCTCGTCTGCCTCGTCCTGTTGTTATCATAGAAATGAAGGCACCTAGGTTATGCTTTCATCGATTCAACGACTCTGTTTCTGTGAGAAACTAGTGTAAACCACACTAGTAAACAGCCTTTTCGGTGATTTGATGGCTGCGGCCATCGATCCCTAACCTATCGATCATCCATTAAGACACTCGAGCAACTCATCTACTTTCACTAGTATGGTATGAAGATCTTTGACAGCGGTTATTTTTGATATACATTTCACCATTTTTACAGAGACCGAAAATAAGAGTTATTTTTTTCGATGTTATAAAAGTCCGCGTCAAAATATTGTCGTAGAAGAAAGTTATCAAGTTTTTATTTTTCGAACTTTTTCGGGAAAATTTCTATAATAACTGAAAAATCCGGCCTTTAATTTTTTTTAGTCTAGCAATAACGATTAAACTTGGCCAAATATTTTGTAAGGCCGAAATAAAAGTCCTTTCCTAATAACAAAAAAAAAAGCTTATTCAACCTAAACCAATTTGGTACCAATTAAAAATTTTCATGTTTGTGTAATGTTGTTGTTGCAACCAGTTCAATTTGAATTGTTTCGGCATTTTGTTTTGCTTCGTATTTGAATTTAAACTTTGTAATAAAGATAAATGTGATGATGCAGAAATAATTGATAAAAACGTAAACTAGCGGAACTATTTAGTTTTTTTCTATTTAAATATTAAAATAAAATAGTTTCAAGTTCAACTTTTCACGTTAATCTTACAGAGCTACATATATAGTAATGCATTTACTAAATTTTAGAAATTATGAAATAATATTTTAATTACCAGTAATAACCTCACTTCACGAAAAAAAAAAACAAAAATCCAATAGACGCACCGTTACACTTTTAATAGGATAATCGAAATCGCACAAGAAAACGTTTCTCTGCTACAGCTAACTGACTTGCGTCGACTAGCTAACTTATAAGCTGAATATTCTTTTATTAAATAGTAAAGAGATTGCCTTTACGCCAATTACCGCGGCACAAGCTTTCTTAGTATTGCAAACATGGTCTTATCGATGATTCGAAAAGTTGTAGCTCCTTATAATTTAATTTACTGAATCCTATCAGTGCGTCATCACATCAGACGAATTCACGTATTTTCATACTTCGTCAAATCTTGGCGACGAAATTCGATGATTTTAAGGCCCCTTTGACAGTGTATCCGTTTTCTATTATTTCGACTAGTACAGTTTGGTAGTACATATTTTGAAATTTTAGGAATTAAATCAAATAGATATTTATAGAAATACGGCTTCATCTCGCAAAGCATTCCTGCAGAATATTTAGACTGCAGCTGCCTCTCTCTGGCTGTAGGTTGCACGAGTTGTCGGAATCAAAATGGCAAACTTGCCAATTGCTTGTCACCAGGTGACAATCCACTTAAACCAACCAACCAACGGGCTTCATCTGGGATAGTAAATGGTTTAACAGACTTTACACTGACATTATGGATTAACATCGTTTAGAAGAATGTGCCTCCTTCTGGTACTCACAGAGGGAAAATCTGCCTCCGAGTGGAAGTACGAGTCATTCGTGCTCGCCTTCCTAACCTAACCTAACGTAACCTATAGAAATAATTTTAATGTTGTGGTACTTATCGTTCTTTAAACACATCGGTGTTTGTTCACACGGAAGTACTTGATAGGGAAGTGACATTTCAGCGAGTTTTGGTCACTTTTCTTTTGTTTAAATAATGAAAGTATTTTATGCCGGTCAAGTTAGATACACAAGGCTGGAAGTTGGTACGAATGTTGGCGAACGACANAAAAAAAAAATTCAAGGTCAAAGGTCAGACAAAGTGCTGTTTTTGCATTTTCAGCCAAACGGTTACGGTTATGACACTTTTATTCCAAAGAATTACCATTTATGTAATGGGGACTTCTTCACATTTCTTTTATAATGGTAGCTCTAAACCTTCGTATCAATTTTCAAAGCTTACAAATTTAACAAGTTTACACTTTTGCTCGTCTAACACTAATGCGCCAATTTGCAAGCCATTCTTCAACAAGAATTATATGTTCCTCCGAAATTTTCGAAGCCCTTTTAGGACATTTAGAGGACTTACTTACCGTGGATGGAAGAATTTTCTCACTCGTAGGTGATATCTGACGTGTAAATAGTATACAACCCAGCCCAAGCACACTACCTTGAGGAGCAACGGCCTTTATTCATGTCCTTAGAAATGAAGTAAGATCTTTCTAAAAACTATCTTAAAAGTAGTGGTAATGCAACACTTGGTAGCTCTTAGCATTTTCGGCCACTATACAATCATCACCTTGCGATTTCTTGGCTGATTTACAATAGTTTTTACTTCTGAAGTGTATAGTGTAAATCTGGGCCCAAATCGCGGCATTCGTTATCGAATGATTACTCGTTTCAAATCGAATCGAATAAATTTACCGCTTTTTCCCAGAAATCAAATTCGATACGAGTTACGTTCGATATCGAATGCCACGATTCAAGCAATGATTTAAAAAAAAATTGAGAAAATTCAACAAAGTTTTCAAATTTGCTGAAGATTCTTCGAACTGTATGCAGTTTTGTAGCCAATTCATTTTTAGTACAAAAAGTGCAAGTTTAAAGTGAGATAGCACTTAGTGTTGATTTTTCAATAACAGAATTGTCGCACATTCTTGTATTAAGAAAATGCGCAACAAAGTCAACAAAACAACATTTCAAACTTGCACTTTATTGTACTAAGTTTTAATGGGCTACAAAAGTGCATGGCTATAATTTTGTTCTGAATTAAATTGTGTTGTTGCTTGAAATTCGTCGTTTTTGAATTTCTTGAAAGACTGAAATTTTGACTTGCATGATTTTCGTTGGATAGTAAGCTAACCTTTTATAAAAAAAAAAAATAATAAACATTAAATAAACAAAATAATAAAAGCTTGTCAAAACTTGTTAAAATTTCGCGTACCTATTTATATTTTCGCCACTGTACTTTGATCTTTATAATGACATGGACATAGTGAAACGCTTGGACACGGCGTACTTATATCGCTCTTAAGACTGGTTTTCATTATGTCATATTTTGTCAACAAATTTTGGCAACAATTTGGCGACACAACTTCATCTCCTTTTCATACATTTCCCGAGTATATTATGGGCCAACAGCAGGCAGGTAGTCTATTTAACAGCACACGTACACGACTGAAAACCTATTCTGATCTAAGTCAATCGATAAACCGTTTTTTTTTTTTTAGTTCCTTTGACAACGTGTTTTCACTTATTTGTCGACAAATGCCACTGACTTTGCATATGTTAATGCTACTTTTCTGGTTCCACCTAATATATGGTACATACGAGTAGATACAGTAGATAGTAGATGATGATATTTCGGTGAAAATGTTCCTCCAGCAGTTGAACCTTGAGTGCAGAATGAAGGCAAGGGCGTTCATGAAGGCAATGGAGAGCACTTAGTGGCGTCAACGGCTAGCGCAAATTTGCAGAGGAGAAGAAATCGGCGTATTTTTTTTTTTTTTTTAGCTCGCTGGAGCCGACAAACTATTGTAACACCAAATAAAAAACTGAGAAAATTACTTGCGGTTACATAGAAGGAAGAGTAAAGCCCTAAAAGCATGCCGTTCATAGTGTTTATTGGCTACTAGAATTGGTCGAAAATATAAAACGACTCCGTTAAGACTTGGAATTCCATCTTCAATAAATTCATTTTATTTACCTTTAAAACAAACTTTTGGAAAACATATATTTAATACTTGCGCCGGGTATTTAATGTTCGGCTCCGCCCGAACTTAGACTTTCTTACTTGTTATATTCTTTAATTTTATAAATCAATAATTCCACACCCTTCTGCGGCCAAGTGTGGGAATATTTTCGGATTTCTTCTACTATCCAAAAAATGCATAATATTTAAGTGGTAAATATTTTCATTATGAAAACTGCTTTGTGGTAGACGTCGAATCCTGTTTTTTTTTGCTAGCAATTTGCCAGAGAAACGACAAAGCCAAACAAACCGATTGCAACAACAAACACCACATAAAAGCACAGCAACAGCGTACAATAACACTACGCATAATAACAATAACAATAATGCCAGGAAAATTCAAGAAGAGCAAATACTCGGCGACCGTAATTGTTGAAGGCTGCACAAAATCATATCCTTTCCGGCCGTCATTTACGGCTTATGACACCAAAGCATTTAATGCGTGCGTGTGTGTGTGTGTGTGTGTGTGTGTGTGTAGCTCCTCAAATTTCCGACGAATTTTTGAATTGAATGAAGGGGAGTGATTGCAAAGGCGCAGCGGAGGGTTGACGGCAGCGCTAAAAATTCGAAGATTGTGCGTGAATTTCAATTGTCGCTGCACCGGTGTGCTACAACACACGACAGTAGCAGTGCATATTCGTGCCAAATTACTCCAGTGGGAATGAAGCGGCTGCTTTTAATACGCACGAGCAACGACGAACCCAACGAAACCACTGGCCTTTTGATCTGTGGGTGTAGAAAAAGAGCAATCCTGTCCGGCGATGGTAGCGCATTGGCGTTGATTGCACTTGATGCTGCTGTTTGGATTGTGCTGGTGCGTGTGCAAAGCTGAAGCGTGGAAGCGTGGTGAAGGCGGTGTGTATTTGAAGTCGATTACTGTTGAGGCTTTGGCGGCTGCTGCTGTACCTCGGCTGCCTTGGCTGTGGCAATTGAGACATTTTGCCAAGCAATTTGCGTGGCGGCACTCGGATTGAATACAATTGGATTGGTGCATGTTGTTGCTCGCTGTGAGCCTGCTGAGCGAGCGCGTTCATTGATTAGTCGATTGCCTTTTTACGGCGTTGCCGCTTTTAATGGGTAGCGCCCGCGCGCGTGAGACAAGTGTGTGTCAGGCGTGAGGCTCGTAACAAGAGGGCAAGTGCTATCTATGTAGTGTTATGTAGCAGAGGGTGGTAATGACTGCCTGCTGTGCGATATTGGAAATTATTATTGCGGTTGAAATTATTTGCGTTACGCGTTAGTGATGTGGATTCATTTCAACAAAACGTATTTAAGGATATACATTTTTTTATAATTTTTTCGTAAAATATATGGCAACCCTACACAAATGGCAAAAAACGCATATTCTTCGAGGAGCTGGTAGCTTGAAGTTTTAAATTATCTGACGACACTAGCATTTTTTAGCCACTAAAAGCTCGGAGAGCTCTACTATTCTCTTAAAAAGACCTTTAAAGTTAATAACTTTTCAGCTCCATAATTTTCTTTCATGCAACGGTAAAATTTGTGCATGAGTCAAGATCACAAAAAGTAAACGCTTATGTGCAGTTATCACAATCCTGCTCAGAAAAATCATTTTGCCAAAAAAAAAAAGTCTTAAAATATTTGGCAACCCTAGAAAGTATTAAAAACATCAATGGAACTTTCTTTCTGTACTTTTCAGTTTAAAATAATAAATATCTTACTGCGCTAGAATATTCCAATACTTAAATTATAAATTATGGCACTAAAATGTTTTAAGAATTAAAAAAAATGCATTAATTTTCAGCAGAATAAATTTCATATATGCAATTGTTATATTTATGCCTCAACGTATGTAAATTCTACACAAAATAATCATAAAAAAATGTTTTTTCAAAACTTTGTCATTTTGAATTTTTTTGGTTGTTATTTTCATTTTTTCCGATAATTTTAACCGNTATTTATGCCTCAACGTATGTAAATTCTACACAAAATAATCATAAAAAAAATGTTTTTTCAAAACTTTGTCATTTTGAATTTTTTTGGTTGTTATTTTCATTTTTTCCGATAATTTTAACCGCCCCCCCCCACAAAAAGTAACAGTTAATTTGATCATGAAAATATAAATCCAATTTTAACGGCTAAATTATGATTATTATTACAACATATAGATCATAGCCATTACGATCCCTGCTTTTAATAACTAATAGCTTTCATTGATCATCTGTCAATTTCTTAAATAAAAAATTTAATTCAAAAATTTACATTTTTACAAACTTTTACAGTTGAGATTTTTTATAGTTCTACAGCTTTAAAAACATCGCAGCAAAAACGGTCCGAATTCGGTTAATATTTAAAAAAAATTCAACCGTTTTCGTAAAAAAAAATTAATTTATCTCAAAACGAAAAATATATATTTCTTAATATGGCAATTGTACCTAAGCAAATGTCTTTCGAAGTCTTGAATTACATACTAAAGGCGGATTTTTTTGTTTGAATTTATTAAAAAAAAAATTAAAAATTTTAAATTTTCAAAAATTTTAAATTTGTTCAGCTTAATAGTCTCAAACGTTACATTTAGACTCTTCGACTGTTAGTTGTGGTTAGAAAATCAAACTTTTAACTTCGATAAATAAAGAAATACGAACACTGTTCTTAAAAAAAAAATTATTTTAAAATAAAGCGAAAAACGTATCCATAATAGAAAAGAAGCAACTCAAATGTCTTATTTAATCAAAGAAAATTTAGTTTTCGACCGAGAAATATATGGCAACCTTGAGAATATCTTTAGATCCACTAGACGAGATTATTATTTCCTTAACATTACAGGATTTTGTTAAACTTAAATTTTATATTTAATAAAAATGACAATTTCACTCTATGTCAAGAGACGAAATTTTTATTTTCCTAAGAGTGCAGCGTTAAGCTTTGCATTTAAAATAAATAAATATAATAAATATGGCAGCTCTGTTAACATCTTTAGGTACACAAGATGAGATTACTATTCTCTTAACACTGTGGGTTTTAGCTTCGAATTAAAATATACAAAAATCCATAGCAACCCAATTTATTAAAACTAAAATTCAATGAATTGATAAAAAGGTACAACTTTTTAAGAATTTCAGACCGAAATTTCGTCATTCGCTGTCAAATTTGGTATCGAGGCAAGGCAGTGTCATCATCGTGCGGCTTTAATGTCGTTAAAATTTTGAATAATGCAAGTTTAAATTTTTCAATAAAATTATATGGCAACCCTATTAATTGAACACAAAATTTTTCACAACCACAAATCAGGAAATGTATCTTTTATGATTATGAATGTGTTGATTACTAGGTGCTTATAAAACATTAGGCAACACTGCTAGAAATTTTTTGGATTTTAAATACCACAAAACAAAAGTTTGGCAACTCAGTTATGAAAATTAAATTTTTATAGTATAAAAACCAGGAGTTTAATTTATACATTTTCATACGCTTTGGAAAAAATAACAAAAAAAGTAGTAGATGGCAACCCTAGTAAAGGAAATAAGGAATCCATGAATGTTTTTGTTTAACGAGTTCAAAGTACCTTATCCTAGTTTCCTTCAAAATTTTGCACAGCAACAACCCGAATACTTGCTACGGCCACAAAATTTCCATTCCACCCAACACCAACATCACATTCGGGGTTGAATTTAATTTTCGTAATGATGAGATTCGTCCTTTTCTAATAGCTTAGCGCCGCGCACAGCGTATGTAGCTTTTGCAATAGTAGTTGTGGTTGTTGTTGTTATTTTTTTCTTTTGTCATTTATTAGCCTGCTGTTTTCGCTGGTTTCAAGTGGCTGTGAGCAAAAACACTCCACCACCCGACAATGAGGACGACAGACAACGAGAACAACGACGACAAAGACCACGCACTTGAAATTGTCAGCAGGTGCTTTGCAACAACACAACTTGTTTTACTTACTTACAATAACAACAATCGGCAGTAAGGCAACAAAAATGACAAAATCAACGTTTATGCAACATTAAAAGGACAACAACTAAGCAATTTAATTCAATTGCATTTGGTCTGCGAGGGATTGATTATGTTGTTGAAAGCCATTTGCTGAGATCGCCACTAAAATTAACTGTGTGGCAAAGTGACAACGTGCTCTGTATCTGCTGATGCTTTGGCGATTGGTGATGATATTCGGTAGAGTAGTCATTAAGCTGTGACTGGGGTCATCGGTTAGTTAATGTGTACATTGTTTTTGCATTTGGTCAAAGCAATAAAAATGCAATTATCGAAGAACTAAAGTGGAAACGGATTTCATTTAGAACTTAGATTTAGGGGAAGCTCTTTTTTGTTCTATATTATTATAAAATAAAGGCAACATTTTATCGCAGCTAGCCTAGTATGGAGGCGATAGGCTAATGGTAGTCTCGGCTAATTAGTTAGTTCACCACCTAAATAGTGAAGCGTTAGCGACAGCACATTTTCTAGGTCCTCCGACGTCGAGTTTGGTATCGACAGCCACTCCCTGACCGGCTATATGAAATCCGTCGGCGGTTTAAGTCCAGGATCTAAAGACTTTACCCTTCTGAAGGTTGAGATACAAGGGACTAGATATTCGTATTGCGATGCCCTTATTTTCATCTAAACAACTAAGAAAGTATGGTTCGTCTTTGTGATGACCAGCAGAAGATTTTTTGGACTCTAACCCCATAAGTCTTTAAGCCACCACGATCTTTCGCCGACGCAAGAACACCTTCAAAGGAAACAGTATACATATACGTTGTCTATCTCCTCGAAGGAAATAACACTTACAAATGTAAAGCGTATTTAACAGTAGACGGTGGCATTTTTACTGCAAAGACTTAACGATTCTACCCCTCGCCGGTCGTTATAGCATCTAAAGATATTGTTATAAGAGTATCCTAACCTTGCGGACCTTCTAGGTTTAAGAGCCTTAACAAGCAATGTGATGTTCGAACGTCTGGCGATGGGAAAAGTTAATGTGTGTAAATATCCAGCGGCAGACACTTCAGGGCTTTAGGCGTAGTATTGGATCCTATTGAATGGATTCCAGTTGCACCTATCCGGCAAGTTACCTATTTGTACCCAGAGTTTTGGGGTGTGCATCTGAAGAAGCTGCTTCAAACGTTTACGGTCTGCCTAGAAAAAGATCAGAAGCGGAAGAAGTACTATCAGGTCGATCGGTTTTCGAGGACATCCAATCTAGGTGGTTTGTCCAGCCATAACAGTCTGCTCAGAGAGTACTCTGGCGCAATAAGATCATATAGAATTCCCAATTCGTCAGTGGGCTCCAAGCTCAAATTGCAGCCCAAATAGATTTAGTTCGTTCGTGCTAATATTTAGGGGAAAATTCAAAGATTACATGAGTTTTTCAGGGCTCAAAAACTGAACTGTGCCATTTATGTTAGTATGTAGGTTATCGAATACACCGACGGCTTTGAACTGGGCAACAGGGTCAGCGGCGATGCCCAACTCGCACTAAAATATCATACAGTCTTCTATATGTAATAAAACGCGACTCATACGGGTAGATTGGAGCATAAAACGATCGGAGCAACACCTCACATCGCTACCGGGAGACAAACAGAAAGCCTTGCGGCTCCCCTCTACGAACTTAAGGCGTCTGCTGTAGGAATCTTTCGTGCTTTGTAGGAGAAGAAAGGAATTTTTGGATCAAATAGTACGGGGTATCTACCATTTAATACATAACTGTGTATAGGCTGGGTCTATTATTCTATAAAAAAGTTGGCAGTTAAACAATCTTCCATGCCCAATTTAGAAAGGCAGCTCTAGTAAGGCACCAAGTGTGGAACACAGGCGTTTCGAAAACTTCAGAAGATGTTAGTGTCTACATATTAGAAAATACCAGAACAATTTTTAGGCGGAGATCTATGGTATTAGCGAAGCGAAGTGAAGCAGGAGCTTTCACAATAAGAGACGCTTGACTTAACAGCCAGCGGCATGGGCGTANCCCAGAGTTTTGCGGTGTGCATCTGAAGAAGCTGCTTCAAACGTTTACGGTCTGCCTAGAAAAAGATCAGAAGCGGAAGAAGTA